ACACAAAACATTAGAAAAATGTTTGTGCAGTGAAGTCTTCAAAAACTGAATCCAGCCCACCTTCCAAAAACACTGTACTTAACTATGCAGATACTGTCTACTCTGCCTGTTCTCATCGACACCTACCACACCAAGCACATTGACAATCTAAATAAATGACCCCAGAACCTGGAGAGAGCACTGGTTCGTTGACCTTTTCTATCTCCAATTCCTCAGAGGTCTGTGAGGATCAACCAAACCAAAATTCTGTGAATTCTCAGCAGCTGCTTTTGAGCTGACTATGAGCATGGCTGTAAATAAATGAACATACGTGGATTGTATTAACATCTAGGTAACGTTATTGCTGGTTATGACTCAGCAGGAGGAAACCATAGCCATTATGGAGCAGAAACTCCTCAGCTCTTGAGTAATCCAGCTACACTTGGCCAACATAAAGAATATTTCTGTGGGTTTTTGACCACAGATCCAGCTACATAACTGGACTGAAAATCGCATTGTTTAACCAAAATGTTGCTTAATACAGTCGGATTTATGTGTATCTCATCTCACACAGCCCCACAGTGGAGTCAACACATTGTTAGGAATTACATCAACAACCCAAACTAATTAAAACAATAACAAAAACCAAGGCCAGATATGTGTTTACATAGACGTCTGGAAGTCAGTTTGGTTAACTGATGAGGCTGCATTATGAAGGGCTTGGGGCAGGATGGAGGAGGCTGTGTCCAAAACTGTATCAGTACATCTAATTAAATATACATAATACAACGTTTTACCTAAATACATGGGTGTGTTTAAAAGCCAAAAGAACAACAGTACTGTATGTTAATAAAGAGATAAGCAAAACATGCTATTTTGATCTGCAGAGAAGTTTTGAAAAGATTTTATGGTATTAACTGATTTTCTTTGGGCCGGTTTAGAGCGATCCTCTAGAGGGAGTGACAAGCTGTAACCAAACAAGCTGTGTTAAAATAATATCACCTTATAAAGTAGTTGATGTGTTTGCAGGTACAGTTGCTCATTTCCAAATCCAGCAGTAACAAGCAAACATGATTATTCATGTGAAATGATGTTGTGTCCCATCTGTGTCCAGTATGCTCTCTTATTTATCTCTGTGATTGGTCTCCAACACTGCTCCAGCACCCCATATTGACCAGCCACCACTGGTGTACACACAGCATCTTATTCACCAGAAGTATATTTAACACACCCATCTCCTTAGTCTTGCTCTGTCTTAAATTCTATGTTAAGTTTCTGTATTTTATGCACTTGTTTGTCACAAACTGTGTATCAGGATGAATGACAAAAAGACAAAACTAAAAGTAAGTTTCTCAAAGACACTGCAATATGTGGACTGGAGAAGCCCAGAATCAAACTTCGGAGAGCCATTGCATTAACACATTGTAAAAAGAAGAACAATAAATAATTGAAAAATTGTTTAGAATACAGGTCAAGATGTTGATTATCCCTTGTACGTTTGAAGGTCTTCTGCGTAATTTAGGTTACCGACTACCTGTAAATGTTAGCGGCCACCAGTAAATGTTAGAAATATAATTTTCAGTTGTGCATCAAGTGTTTTGAGCTTGTAATAAATGATACAGGCCAAACTTGAGTACACTTAGCCTAAAGGTAAATGACTGACTGGCTGCTGGCTTGTATGGCAGTCCTATGAAAGCCATTTGGCCCACTCACTTGATCAGACATCATTACCTCTGTGCCTTTTAAACTAAACACTTTCCTTTTTTTTAAACATAGGACTAGATGGAGAATACTTAATATAAATTCTCACAATAATTAATGCCTACTTCCAGTTGATGTAATTGGATGTTAGTGACCACTGGTGGATGTTAGGGACATCTTCAGTTGTGTACCTTAGTGTAATCAGGTGTTTCTGCCTTTTAATCACCAGACACTCTAAGGCAGGCCCATCACAGACTGATCAGACCTGGGTGCATGTCCCTGCATCTTGGGGCCCAGTTGGAATCTTTCTTCCTGATTCAGAGTCATTGGCTGCACCGTTCTGCAGTGTGTGATGTATCTTTTGTCCATAGATCCCCAGATCTTTGAGCAAGCTGATGGCGGATGATGCAGGGAAACCCCTGCAGCAAACCTCCACAGGGCAAACTACTGAGTTCCAGCCTCGTTGCTCTGCCTCAAATGCCACGTCTGCAGACCATAGTATCAGGTCAGGTGTCAGGGTGGTAGCGACAATATGTGATGGGACTGTTAGCCGCTGGCCCATGTCCAACAACATCTCCCAGTCTTGGGCTTGCTCAAATGGACCACTCCTGGTGAGTAGAGCAGGCCCTTTATGTCCCTCTTCCCCCTCACAGACAAAAGTTGTCCTTTGGACTGCTATTGGTGTTTTTGATGGCAAGGCATTGGTAGCAGTTCTCTTTGTTCTATTGTTGCTGCAAGGCATTTGAGTACCTGGTTGTGTCTCCACACATATCTTCCTTAGGAGAGACTTATTTTACAACCAGTGAGGATATGCCTGAGGGTAGCTGGAGTTGAGCATAGTGAGCAGGATGGATCTTCGTTCAGCCACTGCTGTAGATGTTTGGGTGAAGGAAGGCTGTCATTTATTGCTCTAAGCAAGAAGCTAATCCTGCCTGCTTCCATTCCCCACAGGTCCTTCCAGCTGATTTTCTTTCCCATTTGATTTTGTAAAATAGTTTGTTTAGTTTGTTTGTCAGCAGGATTATGCAAAAACTAATGAACGGTTTTCCACAAAAGTTGGTGGAAAGATGGGCCAAGAACCCATTTAATTTTGTCGCAGATCCAGACAAAGGGGCAAATCCAAGATAATTTTTTCATCACTTTCTTTAACATTTTCATATTTATATACGAGGGATTAAAACCTGGTTTTTGTACATTAATGAGTTGGTGCCTTCTTATCCCATCATATAAAAAAAGTTTTAGTTATCTGAGCTTTATATGAGTAGATGATTTCAAACTGCAAACTGGGACAAAGTCTCTGATGAACATCCTGTGAGACATTAAACAGCCTAAAAAGATATTAAAAACTAGTTGATGAGAAATAAAAGCTGAACAGGAAATAATAAGAATTGGGGTCAACAAAAACAGAGCAAACAAGCACATGGTTCATTACTGAGTCTTTATATGTTTTAAGTTAGTGCAGGAGGTCCCCACCTCTTCAGGGTAAAATGCAGCCAAGAATAATATTATTAATCATTCATAAGTCACTCATTCTCACTAACACCAGAGGAGCATGTGGATCTTTCCTCACTGGTGTGAACAGAAATCCTGTCTCATTATAGGGGCCTGAGTGAGGAGGCTTTTCAACTTTGTTTCATGCTCAGGTTATAATGAAGGTCTAAACACTGCCATAAAAATAATGATAATCATAAATTCATAGTGAAGATTCACACAGTAATTATACATACACTTATACAACAATACAGTACAAATTCGACACTACAATTACCCTAGGCCACATGCCAAGTGTGTAAGCCATTAAGATGAATGGTCCAAGAGATATGCATTCCACATAATGTACATTCTTACAGACATACAGACGTTTGTTGTTGCTTCAGCCATTTCTACATGTGTAACAATGATTGTATCAAAGTGCCCCGAACGAGGCTCAGATTTTTGTGCTCTGTCCAATGATTAGTCAGTTGCAGTCTCAGTTTTTTAAGCAATCAAGTCAGAATTATCTTGTAGAATCTCTGACCTGAACTTCATATTTCCCACAGTCTTCGACACATGTGATCATACACTTAGAGGCCACGTGGGAGAACAGGTTATTCTGTCCATTCTAATCATGCTCGCACGCACGCACACACACACACACACACACACACACACACGCACACACACACACACACACGCACACACACACACACTATACATTTCTGTAGAGAATCAGCTGATGTGGGCCCCCTGTTTCTGTGTGTGTCCTTGAATGCCTGATCAGCCTCTTAAGGCAATTATTCTTGGAGAGAGTGTCTGTTTGCAGAACTCAAATCATGCTCTTTCAGTAATCCCTTCATTTCCCTCTCAACAATATGTTGCAAACAGCTTGTTGCCTTTGCCTTGCTGACAGGGAAACCAAATCAACACAGAGAGACACTGAGAGAGGGAAGAATATTATTGCTTTGACTTGCTTCATCTGTATAGTTTTTGGGTTGTCCTGAATATATAGCCCTCATAAATTCCCTGTTGAACTATATATGTCGGTGTCAGCGGTGTCAACATATTTAGTCCTAAAAATCTCAGTAAGTCCATATACAGTATACTATGTTGTTTCAGTGGTGTAGAAAATGTTCAGTGAAATAACTTCGCTGTTGTTATTTCCTTATCATCAACAACTCCCACCACCTGGAAATAAAGCCACTCATGGTTAAGTCCACCTTGTTTGCTTATGGCATTGATATAGAGCACTGACATCTTTCTGAATAATCTTTATTTACCAGACCTCTATTTAATTTCTGGACGACACACTATTAGGTCAACCTGTCTTTACCAGATGTCTAAGGATGCGATTCCATCAGCGTTAGCCACAGTTTAATTAAAGCAAATTGTTTGAATGTTTTCCTTAATATGAGTATAAACTTGAAATCTTGGGACTTTTGGTCACATAAAGCCAAAAACCTGAATACGTCTCACATGCTGACTCTAATGGGCATTTTCCCTAAATTTAGTATAATTTCATAAAATTTCGGGAACGTGACACAACAGTTTAAAATGTAGATGTTTGACACAGGCACTTTTAATATATAGGTTTTTGTATGATCTTTGTGGGTCCAGCTCTCAGCTTCTATGACACCTGTGCTGACACTTGCTGCGTGCGCTGAACCTCTGTATTCAGACATTTCACATAATGAACATTTGCTGTTTCCATTAAAATGGTTTCAAGATGCACAAGTACATATAAAACAAGAATAAAATCAAACTGTGGATCGTGGATCATTTCTCTCCTAGAAAGGAAATTTGTTGCGTATAATAAAATATATGGATGAGGCCCCCCCATGAGAATAGCTCGTCGCAGGGTGATGACGTAGAATCACGGTTCCCGGTGCTGTTGTGAGTTGCTGAAGTAAAGCAAACGAAAGGTGGGATTGTCTCCGTCAAACAAACCGAGGACCCGCCTGCCTGAAGCCATGGGTGAGATAGAAAGTGGTGTTGTGGAGGAGGAGGTGTGGACGCTGCAACTTGAGGTGCTTAAAAAGAAAACAGAGCCTCGCAGCAGCAGGACAGTGGCTCAGCCCCCTCCTCTTTTACTGAAGGCTTCACATTATACAGCCTGTGTAGTCACGCGTTGAAGAATAATATGAGCATGAACCCCTGGATCGTGAAAGCTGTCAGACAACATCATAACATTGATTAAAAGCGAAGTAGTGATTTACGGTAGAACGGAGCCCTGTGGCCCCACGTGTTCGATTATTACCTGCTACGTCTCCTCTGATTCAGTGATAAAAACAGAAACTATTTGAAACCTTGTCCTGTGACAATGCAGTGGAAGCTGGGCAGCTGAAATGCTCTGCAGAATCACACTGAACATGACGCTACATGTGCAGACAGCTGAATATTCGATGCATATGTAGCAAAGACAAGTGGACGACAGTTGAATTTGAGTTGAATTGGTTGGATATGTTGAAAAGCATTGCTTAGGTTAAAAACCTGCAAGCTAAGGTCTGTATCTAAAACAGTTGAAATGCAGTATCAAGATGAATCCTGAATGAAACAAGATTTCAGAATAAGATTAAATACATTGCTTTGAAAACACCTAAACTGAATCATGTTGCCAAAAGAGTATATGCTTACAGAGCTGGACATAGAAATAAATGACTTAAAACTGCTCTATATTAATGATGTGTCCCCAAGTAAAGCAAATGTCTGTGTGGAGGTAGAAATTGAGTTTTGGATCATATACATGGTATCAATGAGCTTTCCCCACAGGGATGAGAAACATCTGTTTTTACTGGAGATGCCAGTTAATGATGTCTGTGGGGCTGCTGAAGGCTCCTCTGGTTGTTAAAGTTTGTGAAAAAAAATCTATGAGCACACAGTGTGAAAGAGCACAAAGTTGTTTACAAAATGAGCTTTAAATTGTATGTGTGAAGTAAAAAGATGTGGGAGATACTAAGAGTAGTATTATCATTTCTTCAATGACATAATTTCAACATTGTACATTGTGAGGATTATCTAGTGGACATCATTGTGTGAATGACAGATGTCAAGCTGAATGTTTTGATGTTTTGAAATTAGTTGAAATATGTAGGAGTGGTTGGAGACTGAAAAACAAACAGAAGGAAAACACATGGAAAACAATAATGTGAATGCTGACTCAGCGGAATCCGCTTCAGTCTGTTGAATATCCACCTAGGTTCACCCAGTTAAGCAAACGTTAAGCTATATGCTGCAATGCTTTTCCCCTTTTCTTTGAGGGTGAGCTGAACACTCACACCAAATTCCATTAAACTATTGAGTTTGTCCAATAACAGCTTCCATAATCACCAAAGACAGAAAAACTGAGGTCATGGGTACAAGTCTTAGCAAAACTGAATCAAAATGAAAAAGCAGAAAAAATTAGTCAGTTAATCTTTTTTGTGGATAGACAGAATACTGACAACAGATCAACGCAGTGATTGTCATACGAGCAAAACGTCAGTCTCTGGTTGCAGTTTTTTCCTTGTGGGGTTTATCTCCTTTCCCTGTTTTTTTTAAGGCTGCCTGCAACTAATTACTAGTCTGACTATTAATCAATCTGCAGCAGTGATCAGATTTAACTTTGTTACAGTTCCTCACACTGAAGTTGAGATTTATTTTAGTCAGGACAGCACAGGGGAAGAACTGACATACCTGCTGAACACTGAAACCAGCCAATCCACCATTAGAAAAAATGAATATAAAACATCCCCACTGTGTTGAAATTCTGAAATTTACCCCAAAATACAGAGGACATGACCTCAGTGTCCTCGCTAACTATTCTGTTCTATGTCCCCGTCTGTGATACAGAGAATAGACAAGAAACATTTTTTTCCAGGATCATTTTTTTCCAAATGAGATGTTGCTCATACTGCGCATATATTTAGTTGTGAAGCAGGTGTGAAAAGGATGTTGTTAAAAGAAGAAGCTGCTGTTGTGCTCTGCAGAAACATGTGTCTGGCTGAGTTAGGAAGCATGCTGCTGTGGTCAGTGATTAGTATCCAGCTAACTCAGCCTGTACTTACACCTAATGAGAGGTTGTGTATTAGTGCATTACAGTGCTTACAGCACTGTGATAACACAGTTTGTGTGGAGCTGGACTAATCATTTACAAGAGCCCTGCTCATTTTGCTCATTTGGACCAAATGGCACTAAGGAAAACCAATGTTTAAAAATTACATAACCCTCTTTCTAACATGAGGTCTGTGCATTTTTCAGTGAAGTGAACAGGTAATTAATGCCTCACTTCTTGGCGTATTCAGGTAACAGCTAACAGACTTACGTTAATATACCAAGACAAACATCTAACAGCCAACATGACTGTTTGGATACACCGCATCTTTCAAACAAAGCAATGGTCCCCATCAGCGCCATCATCAGAATTAAGCTCACGTTAGCCTGTCAGACCATCACAGTAACATGATTGACACTAAATCAGACACTCCTCCTGGCTCTAATTGGTTGTTTAGAAACAGGAGCGTTTGATTCTGCCTATGACACGTTATTGCTCCAAGAATTAGCCATCTCATCTCGTCTCATCCACTCCTGTCAAGACATAGTTTTAGCAAACATGACAAAATGTTGTTTTTTTTTTAAATGTTTCGTACTGCACTGCTGTCTGATAATATTTCAGCAGGATTATGATCTATAATATATATTATATGATAAAAATGCTGAACCAACTTCCATATATATTTTAAAATGATTTCACACTAAATCCCTGCATTGTAGGTGGGTAATGTGGTTGTTTCCAGAGTAGCTACTAAGCATCAAGCAAACACCTTCTTCCACTTATTTTTTTTAATTTTGAAATGGCAATAAAAATAGGAATTAAATATTACACGAAGAATCAGTGACCAGATTATTAAACAGTTTGATGGTATGATATTGTTAGTGTTTAGTGTTTTACCCTCTACCATTCGTGCTAGCAGCTCCGAAACAGCAAACAACAGGCAGACCTTGTGTGTTTCTCTTTGGGGGCTTCTCATGGCCAAGACTCATGGGGTCCTGAATGTTTTTCCCTCTGCGGACCCTCAATATGTCTTTTATTCTATCTATAATTTAATTGCTGGGCCCCCTGCTGAATGCTGCTGCACAGATAAATTCACAGCATATCAAAAGTCCTTGCTGTAAAACCAGACCCACAGTCAGGAGGTTGAGTCATTTTGCTAGATGCTGGAAGCTGTGGTGAGGGGAGGTGAAGTGCTGACTGGCACGTGAACGGCAGGCTGCAACAAATGCCAGGAAAATGATGTAAGAACAGCGGCAGGAGTGATGACAGGTGTGCACCAGCTCTGCACACCTCCACCAATTAGGGCTGTCAGCTCACTCTGCCGGTCATAAGTTTGTGAACAGCCTTTCTGTTAGTGTTTCAATCTGAAGCAACATGCTCAGTACAAACACCCTCAGGAAAGAACAACAAGTTCAGGATGACTTTAATTTGATAAAAAGACACAGATCCGATTGAAAATCGCCCAGTAATGAAGAATCCAGGGCATTAGCATTATATTTTAATTATACATTTCTATCAAACAGACCAGTACTGAACACAGTTGTCCCTGTTTCCAGTTATCATTTCCAGTAAGAGTCACTCAGAAGCTGGAGTTTGCCACTGGAACTTTGAGGAACCTTTTGCCCTTTTGGCTTAAAGGAGAAATAATGTTGTCATTATGTGTTTGTATGTGGCCCATCGTGATTTTGTGTTTTGTGACATCGCAATGATGTGGAAGAATTTCTTGGGCTACTGATGAGTTTCAGGAGCTTCGGGAGCAGTGTTATATGAGGATAGGAGCTCCCTTTACCAAAAAGTTAGGACTTTTTATGTTTGCTGACCTTTAGCCTAAAAATACACACAAGTGATATAAATGAAGTGAATGACAACAACAGATGAGAAATTATGTCATATATATTTTGCAGCAACATATGATTATTTTAATTTGTTAATTTGTCAGTTATTACTAGTTTTAAAGTAAAAAAAAAAAGTACAGTCTTGTTTTGTTCGCCCAACAGTCCAATTTATAATGATAGGAAATCGTGAAAGCAAGGAAGCATCATATTTAAGTAGCGGAAAATCTACTGCTACTATTACTACAATGAATGAAGCTTTGTCTTGTTTATTCTGCAGAGATGCACACGTCAGTGCGTGAAATGTACGTCTCCTCTCAGCCTGACTCCACCTACTTCCTGCGGGTGGATTGGAGGGAGCAGGGCCTAGGTGCAGGCTTCCAGTTGGTTCTGACTGATGGACAGGGAGCATGGAGAGGAGAAGGTAAAGACTTCACCCAGCATGACCTCACAGCACGTCGTCACATGTTTTACACGTCTGACCTGATAGATTTTCACTCACCTGATATTTGGACCACCTCACCTGTTTGACCACACCCCTTTCTCACTTCACCTGTGCTCATTTTAGAGAGCACCATCGTTGACCTTGCCAGCTGCTCTGGCAGCTACAGGCAGCCGTAGATTTATTAGTGTCACCTACAACAGCCTGACCCCTCTCATGCCAAGATTCATCAAGGAGCTGGAAACCAAGCTGGCTCAAAGCAGATCCTACAGGTTATGCTGCAGCCATTCATTTTATAACTCATGTCCAAGGTTTATTACTGCGGTGAGATATGGGAATAAGCAGGCAAAGAAAACAACTTTTCTGTCACTGTCCAGAAGACAGCAGCAGCACATTGAGTGTATACCATAGAGTTTGCAAAAAAAGTATAGTGAGCTATAAAAGACATAAGAGCCAAAGCATAATGCATGAGCTATGGACCATAATCATATGATTACAATTAAGTTGTGGACTCCATTTCTTAATCAATGAATGCATACATAATTTCCTAAAACAATTGATCACAACCTAATATTACAAGCAAATAACTACGATAGAAGGTCTGAGAGTTTCCTGTCTGACGGAAGTTCCACACATCCTTAGACACTACACCTCCCTCCTGTTATTTCTTTTTCTTTGCTGAAGTAACTGGGAAGTTTTGATTGAGAGTTTCACACTGTGTATTCAGAGATTTCTCCCCCTTACACCACCATTGGCGATCTTGTGTGATTGTGCACTATAACCTGTTAGTTTTAACAGGTCTCTCCTTTGACCTTGGACATCAACAAGGTGCTTTCACTCACATAACAGCGTCTGAAGGCATGTTTTTCTTTCGGCAGCCTTTAGTCTGAACACTGTCACACTGTTGGTGTGAAGGAAATCCTGACACCTCAGGATCCTGCTGTTTCTGAGCAAGTACTGCTGAGATGCATTCACTGCATTTATGATGTAATATTTTCTTATCCATTGTTGACCTTAATTTGTTATATAATAGTTATTGTATACATATCATTTTATACAGCATTACTTTTTATGTCTGCACCTCAGCAACAGTCATGGCAGGAGACATGTTTGTGAAACTGTTCCAGCCCATAGTCCTGTAGGCAGCATCTCAGGATTTACCTTAAGATATTTGTTTTCTGATTTGAAACGAATCATTTGGACTTCAAAGATTAACTTATTGTGGTGGTCACGCGTCCCTCACAAGACACGATTTTTTATGATGATATAACAACTCAACATTTAATGTCCAAATTATGTCAATCTTCAACAATCTTCTGACAGTTATTTAACATTACACCTCAGGAACACAAGTGGAGACTGTGGCCATATTTCCTGTAACTGGTCTGGTTGATTGATTCTAGTTCTCTGCAGTTCTGTTGTTGCTGCATGACAAACACTCACTTTGTTTTAATGATCTAAGATCATGGTCAAAAGCTCACAACACAAGTGCTTTTAGTTTGTGTTCAAAACCATTTTTCTCGGTTAAATGGCAGAAAGAGGTTGCTGGGCCAAGTTCCAAAAGATTGTGTTCACACCAAACATGATGGTTGATGTAAACTGTGTGACTCAATAGACGTGAAATTAGTGTCATTCACGTCTGTCGCTTGAGTTGAAATATTTGAACTTGAATATTTGCAATGTCACAAAAGCCAATCAGATCCTGGAACTGACCATGGGTTAGTGGCTGATCAAACCAGCCACTGGTCAGCCTGAGGTAGCGCTGGAAATGGCAGTCATCCAGACACAGCTCCAGAGAAGACTGTGGAATTGAGAATATTAGCTTTGTGTGCCACTTGATGGTCTTGTGGACAAGGCGCTGGCTTCTCCCTTTTTCCACAAAAGGTTCAGTGCGGTAGGAGAGTTTTCTTTACTCACACGAGTAAAGCCATTAAACACAAATGGTCCTTCGGGCGCAAATGGTGGATGTAATGTGGTGTAAACGCACCATAAAGTTTCTTAATTAATCATGGGTGTGTTTTGTGCAGAACATGGCCTAAAACAATCAGAGTGCTATCTCCCATTCCCTTTAAAAGCCAGGTACACCTGCACCTAGGTGGATTGATATTACAATGGCGGCTGTGGTCCAAAGAGAGAGCATTTCTTTCTAGTACTATTTGACTTATGGCATTAACAGATCATCTGTGGGTATAACAAGCAGAGTGTGCATTTGTTGTGCAGCCTCTATGTAAGTGGATATTGCCACCTCAAGGATGCTCCTTAAAGGTGCAGTGTGTAGAATTTAGTGATATCTAGTGTTGAAGTTGCATGTTGCAGCTGAACACCCCTCACCTCACCCTCTCCTTCCAAACATGAACAAGAACCTGTGGTAGCCTTTAATTGTCATTCAAAACTCAAAAGGTGTTTAGTTTGTCCAGTCTGGACTAATGTAAAAAACATGGTGGCCTCTGTAGAGAGGGCCTCCTCAATGTAAATATAAAGTATTTAAATATAAAGGGTCTTTTCTGGGATAAAGAAAAAAACTACAATTCATACAATTTAGATGAAACCAACTAGTGAAAACATCATGAGGATTATTCTACATTAAATTTCTGCAAATAGATCCCTTTCACCTCAACAATTTTAATTTTACAATTTGGGCTTTATATTGTTTCCGTACTTTTTTACGGGTTTTTAATTATTTTATTCTTCTAATCTGCACATTTATGCTTCTTGTATTTCTTCAGTGAACATTAAATGACCACCTCGTATGATAATGTGCTATACAAATAAATGTGCCTTGTCTTTTATTATTATACCTGATATTATTTGTTTTATTACTTTTATTGTTTCTTATAATTTATATTGTTGTATTCCTTATCAAGTCTTAATTTCTTTTTACATTTTTGGATTGTTGTTCCTATACTTAAACAAAGCTTACACACTGGACCTTTATTCTGGCATTTGCACTTAAGTAATGTTGGTGCTGGATGGAAAGAAGACAGCTGTGTCTGCACGTCCAAAACTAGTGAAGACACTTGTTACCTGTAGAACTGTCGGAGGTGTTACAGCTGTTTGATTGCATATGCTTATGCCCATATTTAGATCATTTCTTTTATAGCAGGGTAATTCAGGGTCACCCTTGTTGTGTTTGTGTTCTGCGTGTAGTGAGTGACGCAGCGCTGTGTGAGGAGGCGGAGGAGCTGGAGATGCAGAAGGAGAGATACATCCATGACCTCCAGCAAGCACTCACAGGGACAGAGAGCTCCATCACCTACAGCTTCACCCTGATGCCGTCTCCACCGAACCACAGCTCAACGGTTACACTGGCATACGAGAAGGTGCAGAAGGACATCTCGGTGAGTGCTGCACAGATTTCTCTCTCTCAGCACTGATGAGTCCCAAGGTTCACTTAAAGAATGGTTGGTTAGTAAAACATCAGTAAAATGTGGAGGTGATTGTTGACATTGTAGGCATGTTCAGAGCGGACACTGTTGATGTTTCACATGATGTCAGTGCTGTGTTTACTTTACATAATGGTGCACCCTCATTTACCTTGGCTGTTTAAAAGCTCCAGAGAAAAGTGCACCAGTGCTTGTTTTTATTTTCCTGACTGAACCGAGGAAGTGACGAATGGTGTGAAAGTTGAGTCTCCTCTGACCTTCAGCTGGTAATGTTTTTCTAGAAACTTCAGTAGAGTCCTGGCTTCATATGATGGTTACAGTGTTACCTCACCAAAGACGTGCAGTCAATTAACCCATCTAAAAGAATAATAGCTACAAAGAATCATTCTAATTGTCTGGGCACAGTCTTTTTAGTGGCTTAGGTTGTTGTATATGAGTTTCATGTGGTTCATGAATAATCTGCATTTCAGCATGTCACAAATAAATTTAACTCACAGCTGTGGTAAATTGTTTGCACATTCAACACTCAACTGATTTGTTACGCAACAAATAATTGATTTAAATGCACCATTGCCTTTACAAAAACTTTTTAAAAAGTCATAGTAGGATTTTGGAACATATGATTATATGAGTCTTTTTTACATTGGTTTGCCTTTTTTTTGGATCAAAAAAATCGAAAATGGTTTGTTCAGTTTCAATCCTATTTTGGATTATCTGAATTGTTCTGGGAAAAAGATTGTTGAAAGGAGATGTTAACTTCTAGCAAACTAGTTTTGACTGGAGGGACTTCACAAATCTGATGGTCTTTGGCAATTTACTGAGTAATCGCTGTTTAGGGGTCAGTTGTGTGAACACATTCATTCATGATGTTGACACAAATCCTTTGTTGCCATGGTAGTTATGACAGAATGGAATTGTGCAATGCGTCTCTTGGGGTAAAAGGGAAATGAACTGATTGCGTTTTTTAAAAACGTGTGTTTTTACAGAAGTGTACTGTTATGTGTCATCAGGGGTTTTCTCATGCTCAACATAAAATTCATAAGTCATAAAGTTATGAGTCATAATGAAAGGCTTCGGTCTAATTCCTGGTCATTCCCCTTTAATCGCAGCCCCTGTCCACCTCTGTGAAACACCAGCAGAGACTCACACATGTACAGGTGTTACATGAGGTGGTTAGCATACCAAACGTGTGTGTGTGTGTGCTCATGCTGTTTGTCACCGTGTGCTCTGCATGATGTGTATGACAAGTTTCTCTGTGATGACTGAGACATGCGGTATCAATGTTTCACAAGTGTTTCCTGTTATTGGATCAGTTGACGTCAAGAGATTTAAAGTGTAAGGTTTATTCACACAACTGATCCAGTTTGTGTAGTAAAATGAGAATCAGATGGTCATAGTGTATATGTTAACCCATTGAAGTAGTTTGTCCAACACAAGTGATAAAGAAGATAAAGACTGCTGGCAGGAATATTTCTTCTTTTTTTAGGTAATTCACACTACATTTCAGAGGGATATATTGTGAATGTGCCAGTTTTGCCCAGTATGCTCAGGGTACTGTGTGAACTTGCGGTTTAACAAATATCCTGGTATGTATTTTACATCCACTATTGGCAATTTACAACTGGTATATTTTTTGTTGAACATTAATTGTAAAATAATTTTACTGGTATATTATACATTATGTATGCACAATTTGTCATATGAAACTAGCCCTGAAGTGCTTTGAGTGGTCATCAAGACAAGGAAAGCTCAACATAAAAACAGACCATTTACCATATAAATATCTTTTTATCTTGAACATACATTCCAGGGATCGTAACAGTGTCATTACTTGAGTTCAGCTGAACTGCTGGTGTTCCTCTTACAAACCTTGTGTACCGCGTCCTCCGGTTCTCTGAAGTTTGGACTCCTGCCTTCATAAGTGTGCAGGCTTATTAATGTCTTTAACATTCACCAGCTCTGTATTAACGTTGCAGTAAATTTAGAATAGGTGGAGTTGCCTTCTGAGGTTTCTCCCTAAATAAAAGTGTCCAGTAGTTAATTAATGTAGACCTGTGAGTAAGAAGCAGCTTTTGAATCCGAAGCGTCTCTATGACAACATGAGAAACTTTTTCCCACATCAACACTGTCCAGCCAACATGCTGGTGTCTCAGAGCAGTCCTCAACATCCGCTCTGACCAGATGCTTTACAGCACAGATGCCTAAGAGCCAAAGTACCTATGTTCAGTGAAACTCTAACCATTAAAAGCTTAATACTTACTACTGAGTGTAGGATGAGGCAACACCTGGAAGTGTTTCCCAGAAGAGCTCAGAAGAGGTTTTCCATTTTGAGCACTATTTTAGCTGGCTGTGTAGTCTCAGGTTATTTATTTAACATTTCTAAGAGGTGGTGAAGTAATGGCTGGCAATTATTACACAGTTGTAAATAACCCAATCGAACAAGGAAAGACAGAGGGTGAGAAGACGTGAGAGAGCAAGAAGGAGAGATTTGGAATGAAAGAAAAAGAGAATACATACATCTGATTTAATGACTTAAATAGAAATGAAATGGTTTTGTAATTGTTATGAAAATGTATAATTAGGGAGAAGTGATGTGATGGAAATTTACAGTTTGACATTGATGGAATAATCCACCGAGATCTGCCAGAACATTTCACTGTTTATCTCTCTTATCCAGTCTGTACAGACAAACAGCTGCACCTCTCACCTCTGTAAAGGTCACTTATTTAGGGAGGCGATGGTTGGAGAGGTCAGGAGAGATAGGCACTGTTCTGCCTGTTATCTGTGCGCAAACATGATCGAGGGAAAACTTTGTTAATCTAGGAAGAAAAACAAAATGCTTGTAGCCTGTGGAAATGTAATGTTCTCTAAAGCTGTGCTAATCTGTCACATTAGCCTTATTTTCAGCAGCAGACAGCTGTTTTCATAGAAAAAAGCTTAGATACAGCTGCTGTCCACTGGTGCATCTGGTTATATTCAGATATTTCGCTCAGAATTTGGTGGAGACCAAACACACTGCTAAAAATAGCTAATCTTGCTTCATGTAAATCATCAACTTCAGATCAACAACTTTGTAAGGAGAACATATGTCAGTGAAAAAATTGGATATTAATCATCGCTTTTGCTAAATGACT